GCATAGACTGTATTGTCATTAGTCATTTTACTTTGAGATTGTCTTCCATCTGCTGGGTCACTGCCCAAAGTTGGAGAAGCATACAAAAGGGAGATGGGAAGGCAGGCTGAAGCGGGCACTGGAGACCTGAAGGGTGAAGGTTCAAGCCAGCCACGCAGTGAAGAGCTGCTGACGTCGGCAGCTGGATCGGCTGCTGCTCCTCTCTCCTCACGCTGGCTTAACAGAGATCATTAACCACAAAACACCCCAAATGATGTGCCAGAAGTGAATAGGTTAGATTTTTGGCACTGTGTGTCTCTAAAATTGGTAACTGAACAACTTAAACCATGGGCTAATTAAGGAAAAGGACTGGCAAGTTTTCAGTGTCTTCCTAGATGGGTGAAGCAGCACTCCAAAGACGCACAGATGTGTTATGACCCAGGGTGTGATGTGTGCCAGAGATGGGAGCCTGTGAGTGTTACGGCAAGGTACAAAGTGTTCAAAATTGGCACAGAATCTGGATTCACACATCCTCTGCTCTTTCCTATGAAATAACTGTATTACTGGTTGAGTGTTTTGTTTTTTTTTCTTTTTGAGTAATAGTGAATTTTGAACATAGCATGTCGACTTTTGTTTAAGACACTAGGGAGATGGACTGTTTCAATGCCCGAGTCAAAGCTGCCTCCAAAATTAAGCCCATAAATCAGAAAAGTAAATTTTTTTTAGAAATAATGATTATAGCCACTGATAGTTACTTAGCATGTAGAGATAAAAGATTTTGTAAAGATTGATTACTGGCTTAATCTGATTTAATTCCAGAGGAAGAAATGGGGCAGTTTTCCTTCGGAGAGTGGATGCTGGATTTTACAGTGAGGAGCTCTAGGCTCTGCACTTCCACAGCTCAGAGTTTCTCTGTAAAAACAATGAGTAAACCACTGTCAACGTGTATTGACATCTTTTTTTCAACTTCCATTTTCTATCTCTGCCACAACTTTTAAAAGTACCCTCAAAAGGACAAAATAAATCTTACCAGAGGGACAGAGTACTGTGGAAGCAAGATACCATTTCCAAGAAACAGAAATTACCTAAACAAAAGGAATAGAAGAGAGCAAGGAGCGTTGGACTGGCGTGATGGTGCAATGCGGGTGTTTTAGTACCCCAGAGGGGCAGAGCACGAGGCTTGTGGGAAAAGCCCCAGACAGATCCAGGGCAGCTGTGTGTGTGTGTGTGTGTGTGTGTGTGTGTGTGGTGTACCAGGCGCAAATTTTGTCATTATTAAACACTTGGGTCTTTACGCTGATTCTGCTGATCTCCATCAGATGCATGACGGGATGCGTGTATTCATCAAAACAACATGCAGCTGCAAAGGGTGGTTTTGTATGGACCACATCTACAGGCAGTGAAAAAATTCATCTGGTAGTCTAGATAAGAAACAAAGTTTATTGGAGTGAATGGGATCCATTTGCTACAAAGTGCTTGGGAATAAAACTGAGCAGGAGACAGTTCAGGAATGGCAATGGAAGGGGGGCAAAGGTACCTGCAAGCTGCCCACCAATGAATCAAATAACTAAAACAAGCTGTGTGGGCGCAAAAAGAACTGAAGTGCCCCAATAAGACCAGTCTGCAGACGCATTCCCATCTCCAGGTCAGTGTTCAATGTGTTGTGTCACTCATCTCTTGGCTACTCGTCTCCGCACCACAAGCTCACCCTCTCCATGGTTTCTTAGTCTCTGCTGGAACATGCAGAAGTTCAGGACAATGATTTGTCAGCTCTTAATGATAAGATCAAATTACCACATCTAAGAGAGCTAAGATTCAGGACACTACACAGGCTTGCATCTAGTAGTGGGACAGATCCAGACATATCTGGAGAAGATGGTGAACTCTAGGTCTGTTGATGGGTACAAAAGGATTTTGACTAATCAGTTATGCTCATCAAGTAAGAAAAACAGGAAGAGCTAACCAAGATAGCAAGTCTAGCCTAGCCTGACAGCCTCGCCTGACTTTGCATTCTTCCTTGAATCGCTCTCTGGGTACCACAGCCCTGTCTGTATCAGCCTCTTGCGCCCAGCCTGAGCCCATCCACTCCCTTCCTGTCAAGATGCTTGTTATTCTGCCAGATCTCAGTGGGAGTTTTACCCCTTGAAGAAACCTCTTCTGATTCTCAGGCCCCACTGTAAAGCACCTATGAATTATACCACAGCATCACTTTTTACATTTATTTCTTTGATTAACCTGGAATTACCTGCACATTGCTGTGGGGTGCAGAACAGCTTTTCAATACATACACAGAACATGCACTAAGCCCAGCCAGCAGCCTTCCCATGTCTTTGTCTTGTGTTTGTGTTCAGTGGCTGCAGTCCTCTTCCTGTTCTTGTGCAAAAGCATGAACAGCAGTCACCTGCCTGCCGTGCTGCAGAACACTTGGGAGAAATTGTTACTTCCCTGTGGTGCTGTTGGGATAGCTGCTATCCAACCTTTCATTCCCTCCTCTCTTCTGCCCGTTCTAGGCTGCAGGAAGCATCATGCTAACCTCAGATTGGCTAGTTTGTAACTTTGACTTGTGGTAAAGAATGCGCGGTCTTTGCACCTGTGGAATTTATTTTGCTTCAAATGGACAGGCTGCCATTCGGTATCCGTCCATTTGTGACTGGACACTGAACTGAATCCACATCTTGAGTATTGTGAATAATGTTGAACATGGCAATACAGCTATTTCTTCAGTGTATGGATTTCCTCTGTATATACAGATGCATATGTGGAAAAGCTTGGATTTATATCTGTTATGGAGATACTTAAAACATTTTTAAATTACCATACTAATTTGAATAGATTACTGCACTGGTAGGAATACAAAGTTTCTATCCACTTTCCCGCCAGCATTTATGTTCTGTGAAATGCTAGCTTACTGCGGTTTTGATTTGCATTTCCCTGATAGTCTGTGCTATGTAGCATTTACTAAGCATTACCATTTCCTCTGTGCAGAACTGTCTATTCAGATCTTTGCACATTAGTTAACTGCATGCTAGTGTCTTTGCGACATTTTGGAGTCCCTGACATAATTGGCATACCCATCCTTTGCCAAAAGAATGGTTTGCAAGTATTCATTTGTCTGTAGGCTGTCCTTTTACTTTGCTGATCCTTGGCTTTGCTGTGTAGCTGTTTTGGTTTGATATAATCCCCTTTTCCAATTTCTCTTGTGTGTGCTGCGCATTTGGCTTCTCAGCCAACAAAGATATTGAGGCCTTTGTTTCTTAATCAATGTTTTCTCCTGCTAATGTCATAGTTCCTGGCCTTGCATGTAAATATGTGAGCCGTTTGGAGTGAATCTGTCTTGGGGGGTGTGGGGACACGGTTGCGAGATCGGCATACTGCGAGCACCATTCTTGGAGACGCTAGCTCTGGGGCAGGGCTTCGGCATCTTGGACGCAGCTGGCTGCAGCAGTGTGCTTTTATTTCTGGCATCGTTGTTCTGTTCCACATAACTCCTCGGTTCACAGGTTAGAGGAATTCGTATTAAAATGTCCATATTCCTTAAAGTTCAGCTTCAATACAAGCCTCAGTGAAATGTTTTACAACTTAAGGGGAAAATATTAAAATTCATATGCAACTTCAGAAAGCTGTCAGAGCCCTGAGAGAATCTGAAAAAATTACCAGGGAAGGATATGTCTTCTCGTCTGATTTCACTGAAAATGAATGTTTTCTCTGCCCTCACTCGTAACTGACAGTTCGGTCAAGTGTGCATTGTAAGGTGGCAGTGTTTCTGCAGAGCTTTTAAATTTGATAGGCCTGATGAAATTCCTCACTCTGCATAAAGGGTTTCTTCCCTTCCTCTGTGAGATCTTTGATGGGTTGATTTTTTTAGGTATATCTAGATATGTTACACACTAGAAATTCGTGTTCTTTAATCCCGTATTTATTTAATAATGAGGTCATAGTACTGTAAGTAAGCTATCTTTTGTTTCTCAGTCTCCCTCGGGTTTCAGCTTTCAGCCTCTGAAACGACACCCTGATTCCCTCATCGTCCTTCCGTACGTTTTCACATGGCTTCCCCAAGAACAACTCAGCCTTGTTTCTTGAACCTCTACTGTATGCCTACTGTATGCCTGCTGCACTGCTGTACCCCACTGCACCCCTCCTGTACGCCTACATTCTTGTAGAGAATAGGTGCCCTCTTTTTGTCTCATAAATGTAAAATCTTTTCTCTAGCTGAGCAAATTATGCTTTGGAGTTAGAGAAAGTTTTTTTTTTTTTTTTTATTCTCTGCTCCCCATGAGAAGTTATCTGCTCATACTTGGGTATTTGCTCATGTTCAAGTGTAAATCACACAAACGCTGAGTAACATCTCCGTGCATGCACTTGTGGTTTATGGTCTGTGATCTTAATGGCCCAGCAATGCGGCCGGGTTGCTGCCTTAGGGTAATTTCTGATACCAATATATTGAGGTCTTTCTTCTTGGGCCGTCCAATTTCCTGCCTGGCTGTCAGCAGTCTGAAAACTGGGATGGGAAAAAAGACTTTTAGTTTAAGAAAGATGCGTACACCATGTCCACTTTGTAGCTACACTTTCCTTCCACACTGTTTCTACTAAGCAACAAAACACTTTGGACAAGGCTGCATAGGCCCTGGCCCTGAGAACGTCTATTTTATGTGTTCCAGTTGTATGGGAGGCTTGAAAAAAGATGACTGGGCATCTGCTTATGAAAGAGAAGTGCTGACTCTTCTTCCTTTGGCTGCCTTCTCTCTATTCCCACATCACAGAATTCAGTGACCCAAGTGGGAGCGTTCTGCTTGGAGTTTCTGCAGTGTATACTGGGCTCCTCCTTGGCTACCTCCACTTCCAGAAGAAGTGGAAAAATGAGTATTGTCTGCAGATTTTAAAAGGCCTCTGCTACCACTGACACCTTACAGAATGATGGTGCCTCCACAAAACCAGAGTACTAGCCACTCAGGCTGTGAAGGCCGTGAGCACCTGCAGCTGCACCCCACCAGCTTTGCCAATGCTGTTCTTTTTCTTTGCAGGATTACCCCAGTAAGACCCAGCACACGGACCTCACCGGTCAGTGGCAGCTCTCAGTCTTTCTCTGTTGTGACGTTTTGAAGACGACTGCTCAGGTATTTTGTAGAATTTTGTTATTGTCTCTTTTATTTCTGATGATTATATTGTGGTTATGGCTGTCGGACAAACACCATGGAGACGCTTCTCAGTGTGTCGGCACAGGGCAGCGTTTCCTCAGTGCTGGGAAGCCTGCCTGCTTCAGCGCCGAAGTGCCAGGTGTCTCTGGGAAAGTTTCTGTGCCTTCCCTTTCTAGAATCTACTGATTTTTCTCATTTATGTAAAGAAAACAAAGTTCATGTCTTTGATGTATGTAGTTGAGTCTGAGGATCCTTCCCTTCCCTCTTCCTTGTTATTCTGTAATATTTTACGACAGACTTATAATTAAGAAAATTGGAAGTCTCTCTGCTGAAGAATTCAACAAATAGAAAATCCACTATTGCTGAAGAGTATAGACAGGTGTGTAAACCAGAGCTGAATCTCAAAGTCAACGTCACTGCTATTGATTACGTTTGTATAGCAGTTACCACAAATCAAGTACATGATACTTAAAAAATACTCGGCTGTTAAAACAAATAACAATCCTTGTGCTAGAGCGGATGCAGTGGCGGACCATCATGCCTAGTGACGTAAGCCAGTCCCCAAAAGACGATCAATCAGTTCTTGTCACATCTAAGCAAGTCCAGCCAGAATTACAGGGGAGGTACAATCAATTCCTCCATGAAGCAGGGTTACTTTAGGGACATTTAGGTATCTTGAAGTTATGAATAGTGTTTTAAATAACCTTGTAATTACTTAGTAGCTCTAAATCATCTTTAATTAGTTCTGGGGTTTAAGCCCTAGCCTCTGATAACGTCCTGTGATAAGTTGAAAAGGGACAGAATATCTGCTGAGTCAGTGCAGTCAGTGCTGTGAATAACCTTTAATTTTTCTTTCTGTTTTTTTCCTAACTTCCCAAATAATGAAGTGCCAGCCTGTTAATTTCTAGCCCTTAAAACTTTACAATGTAAGTAAGACTGCCTTTTTTCCTTTATATCCTTTCCATAATTTAAGTTAATGTAATTTTTATTTAAAAAGTTATCATGTGTACTTTAGCTTACAAACTTTTTAGGCGTTGTGATACATTTCAACATGGCAGAGTGGATTTTTACATAGACAAATGAGTAAATAGGTAAATATGTCGTAAAAGTCCACTTCTCCCCATCAAAAGTCCCTACAGTGATTTTTCACCATCATGGATTGTTGCCTTTTTCTTAAGGGTCATCCGATTCATGCCATTTGCTTTGTATAACAGGTATGCTTTCATAAATTTCATTCAACTTAGCATTTTTGAGATTCATCCATATTATAGATTGTTTCAATCATTTGTCCTTTCTCTTTATATTCCAGGAGAGATTCCCATTGTGTATTGTACCAATGGTTTATGCATTCTACCACTGCAAATATTTGCAATGTTTCCATTGTAACTACTATAAATGTAGTACTTTCTTTAAATTACTTAGAAGAAGGGATAGAGAGAGACTCTTCCATTGGCTGGTTCACTCCCCAAATATCTACAAGGGCTCGGGGCTGAGCTGGGCCAAAACCAAGAGCTTCATCTGGGTCTCTCACATGGGTGGCAAGGGACCAGCTACTAAGGCACGGACACTGCTCTCTCGCAAGTTAGCAAGGAGCTGGATTGGAAGTGGAGCAGCCAGAAGTTCAACTGGTAATATGTTAGCATTACAGGCAACAGCAGCACAATGCCAGCTCTGAGTATGGCACTTTCTAACTTGCCTTTATGCATGTTCCTGTGGAGCAGTAAGCACCCAAATCTGCTCACTGTATAGGTTATAATAGAAACATTATACTCGGGCCCGGCACGATAGCATAGTGGTTAAGGTCCTCGCCTTGCACGCCCGGGATCCCATATGGGCGCTGGCTCTATCCTGGCAGCCCCGCTTCCCTTACAGCTCCCTGCCTGTGGCCCGGGAAAGCAGTCGAGGACGGCCCCAGGCTTTGGGACCCTGCACCTGCATGGGAGACCCGGAAGAGGCTCCTGGCTTCGGATTGGCATAGTATCGGCCATTGCGCTCACTTGGGGAGTGAATTATCGGACGGAAGATCTTCCTCTCTGTCTCTCCTCTCTGTATATCTGCCTTTCCAATAAAAAAATAATAAAAATAAATCTTTAAAAAAAAAAGAAACATTCTACTCTATGATTGTAACTCCTGACACAGTATCTGGCACAGATGCACACTTTTCTCAGCAGATGCATCCCCGGAACTCCCCAAAGAAAATTGAGCTATCGGTAGGAACTACAGCGGACACGCCCCCTAAGATGTTTTCTGCAGTGAAGACAACAGGTTAGTTCCTCAAACTTGCACCAGTTCATCACTCCCTTGATGGCTCAGTATATATATTTTTTGATAGCTATTACTAGGCCAAAAGAGATACTTAATTGTTCCATTTATTATTTAGATGGATCATAATTTGCCAGCAATTTGAAAAGATAACAAGCAAAAATGGAAAGAAAAATCTTTTTACTTCATCCTTAACTACACTTACTCACTCCCGAGGGTTCTTTCCCAGGTTGGACACTGCCTCTTCAATCCGGGAGAAGAACGGGACAGTCACACGTTGAGGCCTGTCCACATTAACTTCCTGGTGATACTGTTTGGTTTTGGGGAGTGTGTGAGACAAAGTCCCTGAGACATACTGCCAAACTGGGAGCCAGCTGCTTTCCCTGGTTCTCTGTTGCCCTGTGATGCTGAGAAGGTCCTGGAGCAGCTTCGTACATCCTACAACATCAAGACCCATGGCACAGAATCCACAGTGCTGGACAGTGACCAGTGACCACCCCTTCACCCACTGTTCATACATGGTGGTATGCCAGGTGTGCCAAAGGCCAACACCTGAACGATATGGTAACAATAACAGCAGGAATAATACCTTTGATGCCAGCTGGTCGTCCTAGCAAGAGCAAGTCCAGTGTGTTTCAGGCACTATGCTAAGTACATAAAAGGAGTTTGTGCTGAACTACAAACTCTGCAGTGGTGACCTAACAGATATGTGTGACATCCACAGTTAAGCATTGGGCTTAGGGGTTAAATGCCTCTTAGGACATTCGTATCCCAGAATGGCAAGTCCTGGCTCTTCTGCTAGTGCAGAGTGTGGGGGCAAATGAAGGCTGCATTGCTTGAGGCCCTGCCGCCCACATGGGGGAGAAGGATGGAGATGTTGGTGCCAGCTTTGCAGCCTGGCAGAAAACAACGTGCTTTTTGCCGCAGACCCTGTCCCTCCGCAGCCCTTTAATGGCAATCTTTGTATCACACAAAGAACGTTGTGTCTCCTGGAGGCTCCGGAGTGCCCTTCCTTCAATAACCAGCACAGCCTCTCCGCTCTGCCACTGCCTTGACAACCTGACTTTCAGATGCTGTTTATACCAATTGCTTAACTAGTAAAAAAGAAATGCATGTTTTCAGAGATGTCACAACTCTGGAAGGTAGGGATTGTTAGGTACACATTCAAAACCAGGCAGGCTAAGCGTTAACAGGACGTACACGCTGGGAGTCAGGTTAACCCTGTGTACTTTTCACAGTTCTTGAAATCCAAATTCTGTTCATCCCAGGTAATGGGAAATTCAGCACAAAATGATGAAGGGGAAGGAATGGGTAGCCTCTGGTAAGAGAACATGAAAAAAGTTCAGAGTAAGTTCCATGTGCTATGGCAACCAAGTGGTTGACATCCAGGTTAGCTCTGTCATTGTTGCTAACTAGTTTCTCAAAAACTAAGCTCAGGGTTCCTATCAGTATTTTTTTTTAACTGCAACATTAGAATTCTTCCAAGTACCTAAATCCTAACACTGAATCTGACAGACTTGGCATCGTTGAATACTAAAACTAGGAAATAATCATTAGCCTTGGTCAACAGTAACTTGTAAAATAGATTATGGAATAGGTGTACTTAAAAATAACCTGTCACTCTGGCAAGGAGATGGATGCTGAGGGACAGATTTGAAAAGGCCTCTCCAGTGTTTCGGAGCTTGGCGCATTTTGGACTCAGATGTTGCCATTACAGACACTCCACCTGGATCTGACAGTACGTCACTGCACTGTGAGCTGACACGTCGGTCTGTTCTCATGCAGCTGTTCTTCTCCCAGAGGAAATAGAAGCTGGATGTTCAAAGCCAACGTTCTGCTGAAGCTGAGTATAATTATCTTTGCTCTCCCAGAATAGTTTCCAAGGATTTCATTGAATTACAAATAATAAGAGACATCTTAACTTCGCACCTAATAGGCAATCTGTTGAAATCTTGTTTTTTTTTTTTTAATTATACCATTAAGAGGACTCGTTTTGATGACCCTGCCCTTGCTGAAATGTTCCATTTTTAAAATCACCAAGGAAAATCAGTCCATTTTGTAAGGAGTTACATATCTTTTTAGGGAAACATTGCTTACATTGGTTTGTTCAGTAAACTGTATGTACTTCCTGTAATTTCACACAATTTCCCATAAATATGTCCCGTTAGGCTTAATCAAAACCTTTCAGAAATGCTAAGGAGATGGAAATGTTAATTTGATTATTGCACACTGTATATGCACATCAACTTATCTGCCATGACCCCGGGGCCCACATCTGGGAAGCGACCCAGAGCAAAGAAACTGGTGTACGAAAGTTGTCTGCAGCCTCCATATTTCCAGATATTTTGTGATGACTAGATACAGTAAATGTGGTATATATACATGATGGAATACTACTACCCAATCACAAAAAGACTGAAATCCTAGCTTTTGTAAATAAATTAGCCCATTGGAGACCAGTGTATTCACTGAAATAAGCCAGTCTCCCAAAGACAATTTTTTTTTTTATGTGTGGTAACTGATATAAACAGTAATCTATGAAGTGACATTGACATTTTGAGATCTGATTGTTCATTGCCTGTGGATATTCCCCTGAGGAAGGGTGGCCTCTTTTTGTTCCACTTATGGTTTATTCTTAATGCAGTAGAGGATTAAGTGTGTGCCTCTAACCTGAATGTGTCTTACTGGAAAAACTTTCTCAAGGAGGAGTAAGGTGGAAGTTTTCACAGTTAAGTCTCGGCAGAGTCACTGCCTAACAGGAAGTCAAAGTGGAAACAAAGGCAGAGGTTGGATTATCTATCCCTGTTTAGAAATGACATGATCCTATTTCAGGATTTTTTTTTTTTTTTGAAAGTGTCCACAGTAGCCAGAGCTGAGCTGATCAGAAGCCAGGAGCTTCTTCCAGGTCTCCCAAGGTGTTGAGCCATCCTCAACTGCTTTCCCAGGTTACAAGCAGGGAAGTGGAGCAACAGGGACTAGAGCTGGCACCCATATGGGATCCCCAACGCATGCAAGGTAACGATTTGGTCACTAGGCTATACAGGATCCTATTTACAGGGAAATGGACAAACTCCACGAACAGACAATTTCTGTGACTTTATTTACTTTCTATATTAGTAGCCTTGTAAACGGAGCACATATAAAAGGGGAAAAAGTGATCTTATGGGATGGAAAAAATCCGTGGAAGTACTCCAATTTCATTGGTTTCTGTGGAGTAAAATGTTCAACCATTAAGACCAACACTGATGCTCTGATAGGCATCTAGCTTATACATTAAAATTCTAAAAGAGGTAAATGAACTTAAACTGAACCTAAGTAGAAGAGGTTGATGCAGAAAAAAAAAAACTCCAGGGTTGATAAACTATCCAGCCTGCGAAGCAAAAAAAAAAGGGGGGGTGTGGGGGGGGGAGGTGGAAAGCCACAACGTTTCCTTTTCTAAGAGAAGGGTCAGGTGGCAATGCTAAATTTCGTAAAGAAAATTTGACCACTGGTTGTGATGTCTGTGGCTTTTGGGGCAAACATAACCCCCAATTACAGTGGCTGTGGTTATAGGCTGTTGGGCAGGACTTCCAACATCAGATGCGGCTAGTGCCCACGTGCGCCGGGGTCCTCTGGCTTCGCTGTCCCAGCAGAATCCCTCCCCGCCCTCCGCCTGCTGCTGCCGGTGACGGATGCACTGGCCTTGCTTGAACAATGACTTAGGGGGACACAAAATTAATTTAACCCAAAAATTAATAAGCCAGAGTCATAAATTACGTTTTTAATATCTCAGGGATAAAGAAAAGGACAATTTATAATCAACTTTATGACTCAATCTTAATTTATGACCAAGACTAAACAAAAACGTGTCCTAAATGAGTCCAGGGAAATATGGGCCACAACCTCTGCCTGTTGCGTTCCCTTGCTGTAACACTGAGCTCCCTGGCGACTGCCTGTCTCAGCAGGGGCAAGCTGTTCTGGGGTCACACGGCTTCTACCTTACCCTGGTCTGTTCTTTCTGGATTTTTTTCCCGTGACTTAGTGGCTAGACCAAGAAGTGAACTGCTCTGAATTACATTTTCAGATTTTCCCCCCCCCTCAGTTTAGTGAAGTGATGGAAATTCGTAGGCTTACAAAAATGGACTTCAGTCTTTTCAGCAGTCAGTCCCTTCCTGTTTTATTCCCATTGAAATGATCTGTATGTTTGGCAGGATCATTAAACATGTCCGTATCGGTGACATGAGTCTGCACTTGAACACCGGAAGTACAGATACAACATGGCAGCAGCTGCGAGGCTGTGAGGTTAGAGTCCTGCACTGGAGCACTGCCGGCTGCACGGTGACGGGGCCCTGAGCAGGTCCTGCGATCCACTCCCCATCTGCGACTGCACTGCTCGCCTCGTACAGCGGCAGAAAGGCACATGTGAAAAACTGCCAATGGCGTGGCACTGAGCGCTGAAGTAGGAGTGCCTTCATGGCTACTGTTATCTGACCATTTTATCCAGGTAATGCTAAGAAAAATTCATAGTCTATTCTGGCAAAAAAAAAAAAGTGTTAGTAACACATGACAGCATCTTACAGGAATCCTGGAAAAACGGAACTAAAAAACTAAAAAATTGGTAAGTTCATCTGCCGTTTTTTCATCACATGTCTTTATTGCTGGTAAGTTATGGATAATCCCTACCGCTTCCCTTATTGTATTGTGTTAAGCAAAACATTAACACAGGTACTTATCAGGGGTTCAGGGTACTGTCATTGTAACTCAGGAGGGAAACGTAACTAATTTAGGATAACTCAATTCATTGAGTTTAAGATTTATTTTTATTGGAGAGGATGAGAGACAGATCTTCCATCCGATGATTCACTCCCAAGTGACCACAATAGCTGGAACTGAGCAAATCCAAAGCCAGGAGCTTCTTCTGGGTCTCCCATGTGGGTGCAGGCTCCCAAAGCTTTGGGCCGTCCCCAACTGCTTTCTCAGGCCACAGGCAGGGAGCTGGATGAGAAGTGGAGCTGCCGGGATTAGAACCAGCGCCCATATGGGATCCCGGGCGTTCAAGGCGAGCACTTTAGCCGCTAGGCCACAGCGCCGCCGGGCCCGCATTGAGTTTTTAAACCCTTCTTAACAATTCATTTGCTTCTAACTAATGCATTTGCTTCTAATTAGTGCATTAACAGGAACAATGAATGCAATACTACCTTTAGCTCTTCCAGTGTTATACACCCCATGTGCTATGATTTCAATCAGAGCCCTAATTTATTGGAAGTCGGATATACAGAGGAGAGACAGAGAGACAGAGAGGAAGATCCTCCGTCCAATGAGTCACTCCCCAAGTGACTGCAACAGCCAGAGCTGCGCAGATCTGAGTCAGATCTACGCAGATCTGAAATTGGGAACCAGAAACTTCTTCTGGGTCTCCACAGGAGTGCAGGATCCTGAAGCATTGGGCCGTCCTTCCTCGACTCCTTTCCCAGGCACAAGCAGGGAGCTGGATGGGAAGTGGAGCTGCCGGGATTAGAACTGGCGCCCATATGGGATCCCGGCACGTTCAAGGCGAGGCCTTTAGCCTCTAGGCCACGCCGCCGGGCCTGCTTACTACGGCTTTCTTTGGGCTATTTAGCAAAAATAAATAGGATCCGATCACCAAGGAGGATGTTAGCTGGAGGTAGGTCCCACCCTCTGATCACCACCTTGCAAACATTGCTGCCTGTTCCCGATGCCCTCCACAGGACAAGCGGATCCGGATGGAGGTGCCTCTGGCCCCTGCAAGCCTGACACCCACACCAAAAAAAAGGGGGGGGCCAAAATCCTAAGGCTTCCGGTAATGAAGCCTGCCTCCTGCGGTGTCCAAAGACTAAAGGAAAATGCTCAGGCCACTCCCGCTTCCCAGGCCCTCCCTTGGGAGTGTCCTTCCACAGGAAAGCCATGCCAGGTCCCGTGGACGCAGGTGCCAGCGACCCTCGTCCCTGCTGAACAGACTCGGCAGGCACACAAGCCCAGATGCCTCTTGCTTTCCCAGGTGCCGCCTGTCTCGGAACATGTGGATGACAACAAAGCCGTCGCCGTCTGTCTGGGCTGACTGCTGAGGGTGCGCACCCGCACAGGACCAGGGCATCAAGGTGAGAGGTATCGCTTTCAGATTCTGATGCACAAACACTCAACAGCAGAGCCAACGCTATTCCAAAGAGAATGTATGTAAACCTTAATGCGCTGGACACAGGTGACTCGCAGAACACAAAATAGTCCTTGTAAAGACATCCGCTGCGGTCAATGTGAAACGAGCACCGTGAGGTTTCCAATAGTGGCAAATCTCCAACAGGTTAGACCCACCCCGCAATGATCACAGCAAGGTGAACGTTCTCTAGAGAGTCTGCTCAAGCATTAATGGAGTCAGAGCACGAACTCCGAAAGGGGGAAAATGATACATTCAGTGTATTGGGGGAAAACTATCCGTCAAAAAGGGTAATGAGGCCACGATGCAGAAAAGACTAAAAAGCCGTGGTTTTCATTAGTAGAACATCCGTGGCTCAGCGGAAGTGGCCAAGAGAAGCCAGTGTGTGGCCTAGTGGTTAAAATTCCCAGGAAGCCACTGCTGTTCCTCCACTGCCTTGGGCTTCCTGCAGACCTGCGCAAGGCCCAGACAGGGGACATTTGCAGGGTTGCAACCACATGAGAAAGGAATATTCCTAAGTATTCTAAGCATCAAAGTGTAGAAAACTCTGGGCAAAGTGCGTGAAGCAGAGCAGAGCACTGTATCGATAGAAGACAGGCAATAGCCTGCCCTCCCGGCTCACCTCCCCAGGGCTCACCTCCCACGAGGTGACTCCTCGCATCCCTGCAGGTCTCAGCGGCTCACCTCCTTACCCGGCCCCGTTTTCCTGACATCGCATTACACATGTATTAGTTTCTTCTCAGTCTTCTTCAAGAATTTGGATTTTTTTTTCCCTACTGCTGTATTTCCAGAAATAAATACTGTGCCTGGATCATACCAAGCAAGTGTTTCAGTTATTAATGCAGAAGATCAAAGACTAAACTGACCGTACCCAAAGTCAGTCCAGCTTCTTTGGTCCCCAAGGAAAGTACGTTGTTGATTTCACAGGCTGAGACTTCAGGGGCTAATGCAAAGACAGTTGGTTATTGCAGTAAAATTACCCAAACAAAACAAAGTGAGGGGAGCTGTTTCAAGATTGTGTTTATTTGCTGCAAGACTATGAACTCTCTAGTAAACTGGCTGATAGTTGCAAGAAATCAAACACTCAAGTCATACTTTGCTTCCCTTCCTAAATACAATGCACCTGCAAGGGATGACCTTGACTGTACGTCACATCCTACGCTGTTTCTTGCAGGCTTCCGAGAACACTCGCACAGGGGTCTGTCACCAAAGCTCCTCCGGATTAGGACCTGGCAGTGCTGCGTGCTGGCCGACAGGTAAGACCACTTGAAGGTGTTGATCCTTACCTTGGTAGCAGTCAGTGAGACATACAAATATGCTTGTGAAAAGGAAAAACATTTTATGTAGATGGAACGACTGTACATTGTGGATTCTGACCTTTGGAAAACCCTAAGATCTCAGGTGCACTGTGTCGAATTGGTAGTATCTGACAAACCAGTACAATACTGGTAGGCACTGTGTGATTTTTATGTAACACAAAATAACCAGCAGCCCATTTCGTTAGAGAGACACGACCAAGGAAACGCTGACAGTGTTACCTGACTTTCTTTCCGTTGTTCCTGCAGGGCTGTCTGAAGCGCCTCCGATGCCTTTTCTTGATCTTTCGCATGCTCCGTCTTCCATAATTCCCTTTCCTCAGCGTGGACTCTTTCCAAACTTTTTCTTTCTTCTTCTATGGCTTTTAAAACTGCTTCCTTCACAGCTTCTTTCTCAAGCTTTAAAATAAATAATGTTTAAAATAAAACTACTGGGCAAGAACACCGTACTACGTAACTCCTTGCGTAAGACAATCCTGGTGAAGCTAGATGACAGAGAACTTGGCTCCTGTAGGGTTGGAGCCCTGACCTGCTGTTTTTATGCATGGTCAATAAAAGCGGTAAGAAATCTATTCTTTTGTATACACATCTTTCTACTTCTCTGATATTTCCAAACCTCAGGCCTCTGCTTCAAGTAGATCTGAGCCCAGCTGCTACTGCCAGGGGCTTTGCAATCTGAAGGTGTGCATCAGAATTTGTGTTGTTTACACACATAGATATGTACTGGAAATTCAGATCAAGGAAACGTGTTGGTTCATTTAACATAACATCAATTGTGTAGTTTATTAAAAAATATTAGCAGCGTGACTGGGAAAACAGGGAGAAAAGACGTAGCTGCTTGCTTGTAACTTTCTCCTCTTTTAAAGACAATTTACTCCCAAACGGTCCAGGAGAGAGAAGGGGCATTAGTCATTAACTTAGGGAACTGTGGGTATTTTTCATGATTCATACAAAGACAACAAAAGGCAGCACTTACAGCGAAAAAAAAAATGAAATTATAGCAGACACAATTTCCATATTTTATACTGCAGTCATTTTCTGCAGTGAAACATTAAGAAGAACATTGGCAATGACCTAAATAGGCTTTAATTTTGCATTGCAGCAGCTCAGACTGTGTGCTCTAGGCAGATGCTGCATCCCAGCTACTGCCTGCTCCATCTCCTTCTCTCCTGTCTGCTTTCCCAGCCACTGCCTGTCTGTATCACTCACTGTCCATCCTCCAGACTGCTAGGCGATCTGCTCTCCGCCTGCAATGCTGGGCAACTGTAGCTGTGACGTAAGCATGGCACGGGGTGCACACAGCATTACTACAGGCATTATCACACTCCCCTTCTTACTATACTAGTACTTAACTAGTATTTTTAATTTCTTTAAGACAAGGATGAATTCTTAGCCATTGTGTAATTTTTTTCCATTGGCACAGTGGGCAACACTTACTTCCTGAGCTTACTTTTCAGTCCCAAAGTTCATTTTCTAACTGTACCTGTTGGTGTGCACACACGTTGTCTGTATATGTGTATAACTCTAGGCTCGTCTATATCAACATATGAGTACTCACTGTTATACTGGTACTCTGTGCAATGAATTATTCTAAATCTGTTTTAACAATGGCCCTGCAATAGAGACTGGTTCTTAGACACCCACACACATCCGAGGGCCTCCATCAAGACCCAGGGGGGCATCGGTGTCCGGATAGGTACATTATTCCTGAGTAATAGAACGTATGTTGTGAGGCACCTCAATGCCATCCTGATCTCGTGTGATCTCAGCTAGAACATGGCATCATCACATCCTACACTGAGGGAACATACAAGACAACCTTTCCCACAGAGAAACCTTATCCAGCAGCACAGTAGCAACAGCCGGAGTAAATTCAACTTTGTGCTTCACTTAAAGGAAGCCCATTACTATGGATGGAAATACCTTTGTGGCAGACACTAACGCCTCCTTGTTTTTCTGTCTTTCCTCCTGCAGACATTTTTCCAGTATTTCCTGTGAGTGAGAAGACAGTTGGAAAGAGTAAACGTGCCATGAGAGGCGACAGAACACACTGTTCCTGCATTGTGAACGTATCTGACATGTTACCTTCTGTTCTTGAGATTGCTGAATCAAAGCTTCCTTGATTTTTTCCTTTAGGAGTTCCTTCTCTGTGTCCAGCATTTCAAGGAGCCTCTGGTGCTGCAAGGGGAGATGAGCAGGAGGATTACCGCCCTGAGCCCAGTATCCCGGAGCACAGCTGCTACGATGCAACAGCCCAAGCAGTGTGGCAATGATGTTCACGAGCTTGCTTGGTGAATGACTACCTGACCGTCTTCATTTCTGCTGCAGTCCCACTAAAGACATTTCAACATCAGTACTACTTACTCTTACACTTCAGCAGATTCAGAACATGGAGTTCACGAAAGCACACCGGGGCGTATTTTAAACCACAGCTCCTGTGACAGGGTGGGGGGCTCAGGCGTTTTCTTCTACTCTAACATGCTAGTGAAAAGGAACCCGGAACGCTCTGACATCCCAGTCTAGATGCCCGGAGATTGGAGCTCTCTAAGCAACTTCAACTTGAGTAGCTTCCAATTCGCCACGAAAGACAGATGTTTCTGTGCTGATGTGGCAACACGTTACAGGTGTACACGGCCACCCACAGATGTCTCATTCAGTCACTAGAGGAGCACCCGCTGCTTTCTCACACCGAGGATGCTGTTAACCTGCAAGCCTCTTACGGGTCCAGATTTTACAGATTCACGTCTAAGAACTTCCATTTTCAACATTCCTTAGGGAGCCAGTCTAAACTCAGACTGTCTTAAGATAATGCTCCTGCTTTAAGTGTACTTGTTGTCTGCTTTTCCAACGGAATATGAAAAAAAATAACATGTGTGGTTGTTCTATTATAAAATTAAAACGAATCCTGGCTGCATTCTGAAAAATTATTGGCACCACATGATTTGGGGAAAGGGGGTGAGCAAGATTACTGCAGAACAAGCAAAGCACAGCGGAGACTGGAACAGTTTTCAGAGCTGTTAGTCCCTGATCTCATTTTTCTCCTTACTATTACGTCGGCCCGTCGGATGCACGGAAGTCCCTTAGTGATCATCCAAGGTCTCCCCAGTGGTCTAAGCAGAACTTTGTGCAACGAGGGTATTTCAACCAAAGTGACTGGGTACACTTAGAAAACAGATTCCTGGCCTTCATTTCTCACTTGTGACAGGATGAGTAGCAATAGCAGATATTATTAGGTCTTTGTGAGCACAGAAACCTGCAATATTCTTGAAATCCACTCGCAGTCAATTCTCTGATACAACAACCTGGCTGTTTTCCACAGTGTATTTTCCAATCCACATAGAACTTTCATAACTGCTAAAAGGCATGACTGGACGGGGCACCACATCAGGCCCCTGCAGCCAACTCCTCTCACTGCCAGAGGAGTGATCGGGGACTTACAGGAGGGCAGGGACGCCCCAGACCCTCAACGCTTCATTTCGGCAACCACCGTTCCTCCCCCCCCCCCGGCGGAGCGGCTGCACCCCCGGGTACTGCCTGTCCTGGCTCGCGCCCCGCTTCCCTGGCTCAGGCAGTGCTGTGCACTCCTGTGACGTGACTCTGTCCTCCCATTTTGCTGTCAACGTGAGATGCCAGTTCCTGAGCAAGGCGTCATCAGAAATGATGACTTACCAAGATGCATAGCTTAGAATTAAACATCCACTTGAAAAGCAAATCCTCCAGTAATTGCAAACTGGCTAGTCCACAGCCATTGTAAGTCCAACACATACAAATATTTGCCCTTGCGAATGTGATATGCACTCAATGTGGAAATCAAACAGAGGGAATACAATCCTGCTGGAGTGCCATAGCCTAGAGGAAGTCACTGGCAGAATGTGAGTAAATATTGTTCTAAGGAACAATGTAGATGAATAAGAATTGGCCTATTTTTTTTTTTTTTTTTGCATTCTCTTAGGACTCAACAGAATGGTATTAGGGTCTTTTTGTTCAATTTATTAAACAGTTTACCATCCCTTCTTTAGACATTGTGTCCAATTTCTCATTTGAAGAAAAATACTGACATTTTGTGCATGCTGCAGTGGAACCTGATACAGTGACAGCCTCGGGAAGAATCCCTGGAAGCTGTCGAATCAGGCAGACGATGAAGCAAGTGTTGTATTCTGCTGCACATCCTCACCCTGTCCTCCAGGGGGAAAATGCCTGCACATTTACTAACAGTAATAGCATGCAGATGAGGGCGGCTCGACCGCAGGACAGACTCACCACCTGCCAGAGGAGCTCGGCCACAAAATGGCTGCACACACAAAGCCAGGAGTTGCAGCTGCCTTCCGGTGACCCTCGTGTCCACTATGGACACCACGAGCCCCTTGCCACGTCAGCACTCTCCCCTCTGAAGTGGGGGATTTTAGCCCCGGTCAGCATCATCTCAGTGACCTGGAGTGCTTGAGGGAAAGCAGTGCAGAAGGGTGTTTTAATTCACCCTGCTTACCTGGATTAAATGCACTGTTTTGTACACATGCTCTCGGGAACCCTGCAGAGTCCATCAGTGTTCCTGACAACTCAAAATGCATTACGGAGTTACAGAGCAGTTATGCAAATGGCCTAGGCTCACAAGACGAATGAATAGTTTAGAGCAGGACCTAGCGAGACTGGACCCCACGAGAGGACAGGAGACGGAGCTCTCCGGGGCCGAGAGATGAATAAGGACTCCCCCAGGCGCTGGGTCTCCGCTCCAGCTCTCCGCACTGCTGCTTTCCTACGTTCATCCCCTTCTTCTGGCCTTGGAAGTTGTGGGAGTAACAAGGGGAGTCTTCCTTTCCCCCACCACACTCTTAAGATACAGAAACAGAATGAGAGAACAGGACCACTAAAGGCAGGAGAGAAGGGGGGCTGCTTACTCCACAACAAAGGACCTCCGTTTGTCAAGACTACAATGCTCAGGAAGGATGGGTCTTGCCCAACAGAATGCCAAGAAATACACAGAGCGAGACAGATAATTTTATAATAGTTACCAAGGTTTGTTTTTGAAGACATTCCTTTAGGGAAAGAAACCTCCCAGAGAAAAAAAAATTGTTAGCAGACTAATATAGAAGCCACAATTACTACGACTGCTTTCTGCATGTCTGTCAGGCATAATAAAATACTCTTCAGGGCAGAACACATTTGGGGACATCCCTATCAGAAGGAGTACATTCTTTTAGAGGAAAACAACAACCCAACTACAGCGGAGGACTCTGCCCTGGGGTCCAAGCTGCAGCTCTCCAGGAAGGTGGCTGCGGCCGCCAACCCCAGACTGTGGTCAACAGGATTCAACAAAGGCACGTTACCGTGGCAGGCACTCCACAGTGGTCACTCGACGTCCTGGGGGACAGGTCACAGTTACAAGAGTGACTTTCACTTATGAGATGTGTTTCATAGAAAGGAAAAGTGCTAGTTGCCACTCAAAGAATAGCCTCACCCTTTTTAAGTACGAGACCAGGAGCATGCTAGCCAGAGCAGCACTCCCTGCATGGGACGTGACACCCCACAGCAGTCACGTTTCAGGGACTGTTTAACAGCAGGCCTCGCGGTCAGCACGTCATCCCAGAGCACCTGCATCCAGAAAAAAAGGGACATCAAAGAACACAGGCAGGCGCCGTGGAGATGCCAGTGGACAGCTTTCCAAATCCTCATCTACATCGATACAGATGGGGGCTGCGGCCCATTTCTGTGCTCAGTGCACAGGGTTCATTACAGCCCTGAGAGATGACGGCCTCATCTGTCAGCACTCCAGGTCTGCATGGAATGTCTAAGTATTGACACTTGCATGAGGGTAACTCAGAAGGTTCACAGGGAAATAGAATTGAATGCATGGCATCACTTCAGTGCAGAAAGTCTACAATCCATACATGGTTCTTTATATCCTTTCCATGTATTCTGGAACAATGCACATAAAACCAATGTTCATTCCATTTTGCCATGAACTTCTGGAAGGACCCGTGAGCATAAGGATTGCTAGTCGCACTGTCCACGCAGACACAGACTCCACTCTGCTGTGATCACGTGACCACTGACAACCCGTGAAACCCGGGATGCAGTGTCGTCACCCGCAGTCAGAATAAACAAACGCTTCGCAGGGTCCTTCTAAAGTTTGGGGTACCAGGCCACTCTTACCGTAAGTATACAACAATTTCTAGTTAGAGTTCAAGTTTTCCTTACCAAATATATAAAAAAAAAATCTGCACAGCCATTTGCACAAAACTTTAACCAGAAAGCACCAAATCTGGAAGTAAATAACATTACACATCTTAAAAATGTACAATCAGAAAACCCTACCTCCAGGCAGACTAGCGCACTGCAGCCCCTGGCAACGCAGATCTACATCCTGTCTTAGGAGTGAACTGGCTAGGGCAGGGACTGGATTTGTAAGATCATTGCACAGTTCCTTCTCTGTCACAGGTCATTCTGTACCTGAGGCACGTGCAGAGCACGTACCTGAAAATCATGCCATTTTGTGTCTGACAGTACTCTACTGTAGGTCTGACCCACACTTCACTCACACGCGTATGTCGAAGTAACTCGGGCTTTCTCCCACTTGTGGATCCAGTGGGTAATAACGCAGCTACAGACGCTCCCACACGGAATCCGACTCCCTGCTCGCATTTCTTCTGGGCCCATGCACTCACAGGCTGCTTATCCAGCCCTTGGCTGCATCCTTGCAAGCCCATCCTTAGGTGGCGTTATCATTGCACACGGGGCTTACCCAAACGTTAGCTGGGAAAGCTTCTGGCTCCCAGGCAGCACGGCGCTGAACACCGCAGACAGCTGCCCCTCAGTGACATGCCCTCACGGAACCGAATGCACTGCAGCAGGAGAGCCACGGGACACAGAGGGAAGCCTGGGACGTGTGTCTAGGGCATTGAGCACGAACGAGGCTTACAGGATGGGCTGTGGCTGAGAGTGAGGCAGAGTGGGTGGGCAGACCTCAGCAAGACCTTCACTTAGGCTACGATGCTCACCTGAGAATAAGAATTTCTTTCTTCAATGGGAAATTAGCCTTGGCTACCTGAAATTTTTTACTTCACTAATTTTGCATTTTTTTTTAAACTAAATATTTGGCTTAGAATGACAATACAATGGACAGCTATGCATTTTTTCTTTTAATACTTTGCAATATTTCTCCTAATTTAGAAATATACTTTAATGTGCTTAGACTTTTCTGTTAAAAATGGCACACAGGACCCAGCGCAATAACCTTGTGGCTAAAATCTTTGCCTGCATGTGTCTGGATCCCACATGAGTGCTGGTTCATGTCCCAGCTGCTCCACTTCCCTTCCATCTCCCTGCTTGTGGCCTGGGAAAGCAGTAGAGGATGGCCCAAAGCCTTGGGACCCTGCACCCATGAGGGAGACCCAGAAGAAGCTCCAGGTTCCTAGCTTGGGTCAGCTTGGCTCTGGCCGTCACAGCTGCTTGGAGA